ATGGCATGATCTGCAAGTTATCTAAAATGATCGGGCGACACTACAACTTTAGCTTGTTTTAACCACTTCATGTATATAGGACTTGCAGCAGGAATCCTGCAGTGTCTGCGACCCTGCTCAGGAGATTTTCTCTCACCTTCTGTCCAGAACGATAAGTGAGGCGAAATATCCTTAGTGTGCATGCTGACAATGTTTATCCATTTCAGCTCTTGCACATGTATTAATACTTTTGGACCTGAGCAATTTTTGCATTTTACGTAGAAGCCTATTGGTTCAGAAGTAACTTTGTCATTACTTATGATACTAATGATCAGATATATAAAAAATGGGGCAAGGTGACCTAAAAAAATTTGAGCAGTTGCTCACAGCTATATGAAGACCATTGGAGGTTCCTACTATTCTTCACAACTGGATAATTTAAAAACTTGTAACTACAGATTTGCTTTAAACATGCATGTACTGTATGTACACTCATGGCAGCAGAAACGGATACAGAAGTAAAAGAGGGAGCAGTCCTGTAAGCAGACACCTAGATCTGTGGTCATATTGAAGGGACTGGAGGCCTTATAATGTAGCTTTCATCTGCTCATCACATAACAAAAGAGATTCACCTAAACAAAGCTTTGCCATGAAATTTAGGTTTCCCTCTGCTGCTTACATCTTAAGAGCAGAGAATATATTACATCAATATTTTGAAGCACTTTTTATTTTAGATGTAACAAAAAAGCCTACTGAGTAAATATCTTCGGTCACTAAGGTATAAAGTACCTGTGGCCTGTAAGGGCTTAGTGAGGTTTTCCATTTTGTTAACAAAGTATATACCCAATACAGAACTGAATATTACACTCCAGGTAAGCTTTTCTGCATCCAGCTGGCCAGAAAAGATTATTTTTTGTTTTACCTTCAGTAGCTCCTAGGAAAATCTGCTGTAGCAGCTATTGCATTGTTACTTATGTTCCCTTGAAATACATTTCCTGCACTCAGCATGGGACTTCCTAATCGCCTAAGCTCCTTCCGTCATTATAGAAAGTATTCACTTTTTGTGTAGAGCTGATTCAAAAGTACTGTATGTTTCTCGTGCTAGCACAAATTAACATACACAAGTCATCTTCTGTGGTTCTTGCTCAGCACAAATGAGTATTGAATGAGAACTCCAGTCCAGTTTGGCTAAAACCAATATTATGGAATTATTACAGGATCTGTTTTTTTTTCCTTGGTTCTCCTTGTGCTTTCTAATTTTTTGTAAATTCTTGATTTGAGTTTTTTCTTTTAAGGTTGCAAAGCAAAACATTAGCAATACAGATGTAAACTTGTAAAGGCATAAAGTAATAAACAGGGTGTAAATGTGTAAGCATAGTAAACATACTTGTAATACCAAAGTAGACAACCAGCGGCTGCCATTCTCAGTGTTTGACATATTGATAGTATGGAGAGCAAGTTGAACCCAGATGTCAGTATCCTAGCTGTAGAGGTAAACATTTTTTTTTTAAAAGGGGGAAAGCAAAGGAAAAAGTATGTAGAGAGAAAGTAAGTAAGGAGGAACCCACCATCAATCCAATAGTACCATGTCCTATAATACCTCTCACGTCTGTTGTCTGAGGACATAACTAAGTCCTCCATCTCTCTGATCTCTTCTACTCTCTGGATCCACATAGACACTGAGGAGGGTGAAGTATTCCTCTAAAGGCTCGGAATACAAGACTTGGCTGCATCCAGAAGGTGGCGAACTACAGAGTGAGAATAGGCTTTTTCGACATGTACGTATTATTTAATAAGAAAAAGGACGGGTCATCTAGAAGATCCGTATCTCTGAACTTGCAAACTATGGTACGGACCGAAGACCAAAAATGCGATAGAAGCGGGCATGTCCAAAAAATGAGAAGTTGGTTGCCTACTCCCGACTGGTAGCGCCAGCAAACATCTGGGACCCCAGGATAATACTTATGTAGTATGGCCAGTGTCCGATACCATCTAGTAAGAAGTTTATAGTTAGTCTCCTGATGTTTCGAACAGATGGAGGCCTTCATGATGAAGTGAATGATTTTGTGACATTGTTCATCTGTACAGGAGGTCTAAAGGTCCTGTTCCCATCGGGTCAAGAAAGGAGCCCTAGTATTGGTAGGAGGACTAGAAAAGAAGGAATAAATGCTAGTGCTAGAGAGGAAGTGGTGGACAGACTTTCTAATTTTTTATGAGTGATAAGAAAAACCTCTAAATCATCTTTAGCACGCTAAATTTGCACATGTAAAAATAGCCTGCTATAGCTACAAATTGTTTTTATGCCTTCCAGGACACCCCAAGCTGAAGCCAAGCATTGTGAAGAACGGTTATCCTGCCAAGTCTGAGGCACCCATCAGAGATCCAGAACGCCACTGTGCACACAGGCTGAAGGAGAAATGTGAGGAGAAGACTAAGGAACTTCTGTTTATACGAGAAGAGTTTAAAAAAGCAAGCTGCGCATTTGTGGTATTTGCAGTGACAACACAATATTTCTTTAGTAAGGTAAGGAAACAAAGTTTCTTCACATAATTCGTGTCAGCTGTTTTATTACCTTTTAGAATATCTCCCAAACTAAAAATACATTTGTTTGTAGACAATTGCTGATACGTGGAGTGCAGACAAGGGAGTTTTAAAGTGGACTTTTACCTTCTTTGACTAAAAAAAACATCAGCATGCAGCTCTGCATTTTCCTCCCGAGTTGATTAGCATGGTTACATGTCCTAGTCACATGTGCCAGAGTTCCGGGAAGTAAAGGGAGATGGATTCATCTGCCCTTAGTAAAAATGGCCGCTGTGAGAAAAATGGGCAGGAATAGAAGGATAAGGTATGCAAAGAATACAAAGCCGGCAATTATCTAGACGTATCTGTTCATAGATTTCCATTACTAAACTTGTCTAAAGGTGGCTTTGTTGTTATTTTGAAGATCTTTAAGAAAAATGTTTGATTGGCTGATATGGTTAATATCACAATATCTCACTTAATACTGTTGCCCAATTTGCCCCTCTATTATCTATCTTCAGTTTACTACAAGGAGGTTGCAATGGACAGCAACACCTCTTCATAAGTTTGTACTTTATTTCTGTCCTTCACAGAATCTAGTTGAGTGAATGGTTCATACAGGGTTACTATTCACTTGTCTGTGCGTTATATATATATATATATTAATATTTATTTAAATAGCTCCATTTCCTATTACATAAGAGCTGCAAAGAATAGCAGTTGTATAGGAGAGACATGACCTCTACTCATGTGTCACTTCTTCCACCTAGTTGATATTATATGCTCTTGTGAGCAGGGTCATCAACCTTGTTTTTTACGCTAGTTACAGTATGCTAATCTTTGTATAATTTTTCATAATGTCCTCTCTTTGGGCATCATGGTGAGTGGCTAAACGTCAGCTCTGAGTTTAAGTTCCACAAAGGTCACTATCTTCATGTAGTTTGCATGTTTCCCTATGACTTTTATGACTATCCTCAGAGCTCCTGTTATAACTTAGAATGAAACCTGCACTATGAGATATATGGAGCCTTACATTGCTGACGTCTCATTTTAGGGAGAATACTCATTAGCTGGCTCTTGTACTGATCCTATAGCTTTAAGTGTAAGTAAACTCTAACTGGCAATACACATGTTTTTGTTCCTTCTTAAAAAAATTACTTTTGGGGGGAAAAAAACATGCATTACTCAACTGTGTGCTCTGCCTTCCACTATGAGCATCAATGTCATAGCTGTAGGGCATACAGAAGCTAGAAGTTATGCGATAGGCTTGCCTCACTTACATGCCAGCACACAATCAACCAGCAGTCTTCATGTCCTAGGGTGGCAACACTGCTTCTGTAGAGCTACAGACTCTGGAAGTATTGTCAACATAGGACAGGCATCATGGATTCAACAGAAGAAAAAAATTTAACGATGTAACAACTCCCGCACTGCAATCAAAGGGTAAATGCCCAGGATTTTTTTCGGGGGGTGTGTATTCTTTATATATTTTTTAAACCATTAACCCACAAAAGGTATGCTGATCAATACTTTTGATTTCACTTGCTGAATGTTTTTTTAATAACTCAATGTAAAGACAGAGACAGCTGACCAGCTAGCATTTTTGAAAGGGGCTCAGCAATGCATTCTACATATTAATATTGGTATAGGATTGTGTTACTTGGCTCCCTACCAGATTGGCTTTGTAGTGTGTGTGGGCGAGCTACAGTAGGGACATTTAATTGTTGTGAATGGCCTTATGTATTCTGTAAATTGCTATGGAACATGTTGGCCCCGTATATTTTAAATAGTGAAAATAAATAAAGATTTGCAGGATATGGTTCTGATATATGAAGACGAGTGATGCAAATAATAATAATCATAATCATAATCATAATACAAGCCTACAGTTCTATGTGCTCTGGAAATTTCTGCGTAACCAGTATAAATACTTGAAATATATATTTGCAGAACATGCTGGCAATATATAAAAATTATTATTGCGAAAATCTAATAATAATACAGGCCTACATTGTATAATGAGATTTTTAGGAAGACATTATGAGTTACTTGAAGTGCAATATATCAGATAAAACCAGAGGGAAAGATGTGTGTTGAGTCTGTTCCATGTAAGAAGAAAACACCAGCAAGTAATTTATATGTGGAGTGGGAGGGAAATTGAAGAAGACAGCTCAAGTGTTCTAGAAGCAGAGAATACAAGACAGAAATACAAATGAGCTCCTGGGAGGACAGACCTGTGTGTATGTATTGACCATCACGTTGACATGTATTACCATACATGACATTCAGAAATTCTACAATGTCTGTGTGTTACTGCAGAACAGGAAACAATATTTACAGATTTGTATTCTTATTACACCAAATACTAATGCAAAATGTGCAGGAAATAAAGGACTCGATTTCACGGTTTTAACTTTTTTAATTCTTGGGGTTGAATTCTATTTGCTACCACAGATGGCTGAACCAGGTTTTCTATTTTAAAAGCATGACATTAAAAAGAGCACAACAGACTCTCCCAAATGGTCATATTTTCTAAAAAAGCATGATCTATAGAGTTAAAGTTGAACTCCGGACACCCACCACCACAACCACAACCACCGTTACTGGACAGTGGAAGGAGAGACAGCAAACTGATGAGCTTATTTCTCTGTTACTCTACTCTCAGTACAAATGATTGGCTCCTTGTGCTGCTTCTCCCTCTCCCAGTCTGTGCTCTGGTGTACTGGGAACAGGCAAATATCAAGTTAAAACCCATCTGTAAAAAATAAGTCAAGGCAACTGGACCTGCTGTATTTTTTTTTTGAAGACGTTTCACTGGACATCCAACCAGCTTTCTCAATTCAAAATGACTTGTGGAAAAATTATCTGGGAATAAATATGGTGAATGTTGCTCCAATCCACAGAATCTGTTAATCACAACCATATGCTGAATGCATTTGCATAACTGGAGTTAGGAGGTGTTATTAACCTGCCCAGAGAGAAGTGTTAAAACAGCATTGTATGTAGCAGACAATAGATGTCTCCCCCCACTTCTATTCAAGCTTGGCTTCTCTATTTTTACATAAATGGCTTCTTTCACGCCTCTTTTAACCTCCCTGGTGGTATGATTATTTTTTTCCTTTTTTGCTCTATCTGTTTACTTTAGGACAGTACTACGGATTTTGTATGTCACATGATAAATAAGTGTCTCAATGTTGTCAAAACAATATTTTCAGATGATAACATGCCTCAGAAAGAAAAGTTAAAATTACCTGTATTTTCGGAGAGAATACCATCAAGTAGGTACATACTTACACATTTAGTAAGAATGGCCCAATATACTCCAATTCCTAATTCTGCATACAGTACTAAAATAACCTGAAAGACCTTCCCACTAAAGCCAAACATACAATATCTGTACAACCTTTCAATCAATTTTTGTGTAATAATGACTCCCTAAGGGGCTGCTAGAATGTAGAGTTCTGATGCCCTTCCCAGTGGTGACCCACCCTTAACTTGACCTGATAACTCACTGACATACCAGCAGTGACACTATGATAATGAAATGTGCTTTATTAAGCAGGAATAAGCTCTGTAAGGGAAGTGCCAATTAAACAGTTTGAACAATGACAAGGTCAACATGATAGTAACCACAGAAACAAAGTTACATAAAGGTACAAGACACTTATTCCCTTTTATCCCCTTGTTGGCTTTGCCAAAATGCACTGGGCAGATGAGAGGGGAACAACCAAGCTGCTATTGATAAAACAACCACAACAGTACATTTTCCCTAAAGGCAAATATAAGGGAATGTAATTAACAGTGAGAATGATCTACAGTTTTTAGGCCCCATCTAACAATTGCCGGTGGGGAATAAGTACAAAGTACTGCTGGCGGTGGGGCCCTTAGACTTTATGTTAAAAAGCTCACCCTTTAAGTGAGGGTACTTCACAAGTGAAGGAAATCCCCCACAGTGCCCAAAGGGTGGTGCAATTCCCTTTAGACAGAGCTCTGCTGGCAGCAGGAGAGTCCCAATTACAACAAACAAGTTCAGTACATATAGGGGGGTCAGAGGCCTTTCACCACACTCTTGCTGTGCAGGTGTCCTCTGGACAGAAGTTGATGAACACTTTCTCAAACAGCTGGATGAGGGCAAATGCATCACAGGCCGCTCTGTCTCTATATGCCTCACACGTCTCTAGGAGCCAGACAAGAGATAGCCCGCAATTATGTGGGCCCCCCCTGTCAAGCCTGAGCCTGTATTTAGTGTCCACATAGATGACTAAGCACTGTAGCACCACCCTCCCACTTAGAACAGCTACTCACTCTCTCTGGGCAGGCTCTGTGCCGCTCATGGCACTCCCCTCTATAGTTCATGTGGGTCAGGAGGGCTTCAATTCCCTGTCGCTGCTGCGGCCAGTCGCAGTGCTATCCCTCCCCTCTCTTGGTGGCCTTTCCAAAATAATTCAAGGAAAAGGATGCCGTGACAAAGCGGTGATGATGCCCTGGCTGTGTGGCTTCCTCTGCTTAAAGGGGATGCCAGCCAGGGTTACAAATGTAAGAGATCAATTTCCCATTCTTCTTAAATGCTGCTGTAGCCATAAATTCCATAAACTAGAAAATAAAATGCTGTCTGTGTATGTAGCAGCTTGGGCAGCTGCTCTCTACTGTGCAATGTGGAATGGTGATGTCATCCATCAGGGACTGGTAAACATTAACCAGCAGGGTAGTTTGTAAGCATTACTTATGATCCATAGTTTAATTGTAATTACTAGGGATGCACTGATAAATATCGGCCGAAAATGGCACTTTTGGAAAAATGCCGAAAGTGCAATTCTCTGTCCGAAAAAGCGGTGCATCCATTCTTTCTCTCCTCCCCGCTGGGCGCTGCTCTGTGTTCCAGCGGAGGGGAGAGAAACTGTCACAGGCGGCCGAGTGCTGCGGGAGGAGAGCGCTGTGAGCAGCCGGCATCTCTCCTCCCCGCACTACTCAGCCTCCTGTCACAGATCGGGAGAGCGGTGTGG